TCTGTCTGTCTGTCTGTCTGTCTGTCTGTCTGTCTGGTGCTGTCCACTTCAGCCTCTGTTCTTCATCACCTCTGCTCCCTTTCTCTTTTCTTTTTCCAGTTCTCCTGAGTCACTAATCCTGCAGAATAATTTCTGTTTTCATAACACAGATATTTTTTATGTGTTTAAGTCAAAACTGAATTATTTCTGTAAGATGTAAAGACTCCCACGTAATATTTGATTTCATTTTCAGCAGACTTGCAATGTGATACCATATATTTCAGCCTACTGATCACATTTTAGGTAGCTGTTCTGAACATTTGTTAGCTTTGTTGTGAAACCAGTGGAGTGTTGAGAGGACTGGTCAAAGTCTTGTGTACTCCACACAGATCAGTGGCACCGCAGCAGACCCATGTGCCCTGTTTGTGGCCTCTGGAGCGGGGAATGTTCCCTGAAGCACGCTGGCCGTGTGATCAGAGGCGGCAGATGGACTCGGCTGTTGTGTCTGCTGTTGCCTGTGTGTTGCTCAGCTGTTACCAGGTCACACCATCCCCTCCCCTGGATCTGATTTCACTGTGGAAACATCACCTTCTCTTTCCTGGACTGGGCCTGGGTTATACATAGCTGTTTGGCAGGAGCTGGTTGTGTTATGCCCTCCTTGCTGGGAATGGGAGTGGGGGGGTGGGTGGGGGGGGGGGGGGGGGGGGGGGGGGGGTGGCGAATGTCACTGCAGCCTCTCCAGCTGCCTGAGTTCTGAACTGCACAGAGAGAACAGAAAAGACCCCCTATTTATAGCTGCCTCAAACTCGGATAAATTTTTCATTAGCCTCAAAAAGGAGAGTGAAGAGTTAGAATTTCATCATGGTCTCTCTTTCTTTATGTCTCTCTCGCTTTCTCATTCTCATCTGTTGGAAGCAATTCAGAGACGGGCTGAAAACACCACTCTATGTTTGTTACACCTCTGCCTTTCCACTGAATTAGACCTTGGGGAGCCTTGTCAGCTGGATCATTTCTGCACTCTTCCTTTCTGCCTGCCTCTCTCCCTCACCTCCTTCTTTTTTTTTCTGTATCAGCAGTGCAGCATCAGTTGTTCAGTGCTGAGCGAGGGCCCTAACTGAGCTGTTACGTAACGGCTGCAACATACTCTCTGGGGCCCCTTTGTGACCAGATGGCTGCTGAGTCACTCCAGAGTCTTAAATGTAGTTAGGACAGTGGCGGATCTAGGGTTTTTCTGAGCAAGGGGCCATCAAGGGGCCACAATATTCATAGAGGGGCCAAGTCTTCTACCTTGTAAGCACAATAATGATTAGGAAACACATATTTTAACAAATAATATTATACTATATTACTGCATTACAAATATCCACAAATATTAAAGGGATCCTTATTGTAAAGTGTAAAACTGTACACTATTTTGGATGGGGTGGGATTATTTGGTGTGGAATAAAAATATTAGATGTTGGCACCTCCACATCATTGCGTTCAGTTTTTATTCACAATTTTTAGTGTCCCAGCTTTTTTGGAATCCGATTTGTAAATGGTCACAGAACGTTGGACTACATAACTGAACTGGCATTTTGATATTTTAATAGTTTTTACATAGCCACAGTTTAAGTTTTGTGATCTTTGTAGAGTTTACAATGGGATGTTCAACTTAAAACATGATTATTGCAATCGCTGTAAAGTTTGAGCTAAGATTTGCAAAATTTTAGCAAACAAATTGTTTTTATACACAAATGTTACACTACTTATACAATCTTCTGTCTCAAAGTGTGTCTCTCACTGCTCTGGGACTTAGAGTTTTTTTTCTAGATCCCAGTGTAATAATGATGTATATAATAATAATAATAATAATAATAATAATAATAATAATAAAGAAATGTCCAGGACACACTTGTCTTTAGTCATTGGACAGCAGGGAGTCACCACGTTAACATTCCTAGACTCTGTTACAATTATAACTCTTTTTGACTTCTAAGTATTTGTACATATATATTGACTGATGCATTTGAAATTCTGCAGCTGTGTGCTGGGTACACAAAGGTAGGATAAACCTAAAATGTCAGTCACCTCCAGGCTGCCTTTGCACTGTGTCATTTATAGGCAGCATGTACATTCCTGTATACCATCTGCTGCATGAAAGGAAGCCCTTGCCCCAGCAGGGGCCTCTCACTCGGCCCTGGCTGCCTCACTGCCGGGTCGTTTTATCCAACAACATAACAGAGAAGTTTTCATACCGCACACAGTCTCTGGGGAGAGACTGCAGGACTAATTGCACTGCCAAATGCAACACCACAAGTCAGAAAGGAGACTCAACATTTGCAAAGCATGCTGGTTTTTACTCACATTATCAAGCAATGTTTTAGATTCATGAGCTCTTTGTGTAACTTTGGGGGATATTTTTCAGTGTTTATTCAGTCACCATTCTCTCAGATGTGTCTGGCAGTCTGTTTTCTGTCTTTCACTGTGTTACGTCTTTAATAATGATGCATTCTCCTAAACAGCGTGCAGTAATAAGCCTTGTCGGACTGATACAATGCATGTCCAAAAGATACAAATGTGCAGCTTACCTTTAAGTCTAAAATACACAAATAATGACCATATGTTGTTTGTTAATCCACTGCTGAAAACCTTTWCTCTTCCATCAGAAGTGGATTCACAATGTTTCACTTGTGCTTTTTTTATCTTGTCAAATTGCAGACCTACTCTGGCCTTTTCTGTGTGGTCATCAACCCCTACAAGAACCTGCCCATCTACTCAGAGAACATCATTGAGATGTACAGAGGGAAGAAGAGGCATGAGATGCCTCCGCACATTTATGCCATCTCTGAGTCAGCGTACCGCTGCATGCTTCAAGGTAAAATCCTTTCATTGATTGACAAGTACATAAACATGCCATGGTGCAGGGTTCACAACTGGGCTGCACAGTGAGACAGAAACTTTTAAGTGTAGTGGGTGTTTTTTGTCGATGTTGGATACTAAGACTTTTTGGTCTTTATTTTAATTCAGTTCTGCTTGGCTGCACAGAGGAAGTGATTAATGTGTAAACGGTGTGCAGTGTGTGAAAGTCTCTGGATCATGTAGAAGATGTGACCCCCAATTTACATTACTTGCGTTCTGTCTCTGCTACGCTGCGCTGCGACCTCCGCAGCAAATACGCACCCATTATAATCAATGAGAGTGTTTACACTGGCTGTGCACGGCGGCGATCTGTCAAAATTAGAACAGATCCTATTTTTGCCGGACGACGGAGCTGCGCCGGAGTCAATTTTTAAAGATTACGTCGCACCAACAGGAAAAGAAACGAGCACAACATCCGTATTTTCAAAATAAGACACTATTCGGTTGAATAATTTGTCGGAATAATGTCAAAATTGCAGCTATATRAWTAAATATAGGGATATATTTCTACACAAATGCTGTCAGAATGTATCATTCTGTTTGGGAAGCAGATGGAAACGTAGCATGCAGCATATGTGTACACACARGATACARGTGGATTTTATTTTGAAATCAGAAGTTTCAGAAAGTCGACAGCGAGACAGTTTCAACATAGATACCGAATGCCTTTATATTGTTGTTTTCWGCTGTGTTTGGAGTTCGTCTTTCACAGAATTAATTATTTTTTGCTGTGACTTCCACACTTATCACTGAATTTATCGTGAGATCTGCTTCCTGCAAGTCTGTCAGACCGGAGCGGAGTTGAGGTAATGTAAACTGGACTTGAAATGCACAGCTGTGACCTGCGCATCGAAGCAGAGATGGAACGCATGTATTGTAAATTAGGGGTGACACCACTGAGTATCTCAAGTCTGCTGTCATTAGGAATGTCAGATTACATTTMAAGTATCTGGCAGGTTTTCCAGCTTTGTCATTACTTTCATGTGCTTTTTTGCAAGGAAATGTGAGGCTCCTCATCTTAAGCTCTAAATCTCCAAACATCATGAATTTCATGTTTTGCTTTTTTAAAAATCCATTTATTTGTGCTTGTTTGCAGTTGTAATCGTCCTGTTTGGAAATGTTCCTCCAAACTTTGACATTTAGTTCTTTAATGATTCTGACAATTTATCATCATCATCATCATCATCATCATTATTATTTCCCCCCTTTATGCATTGCAGATGCAGTATGTGTGTGTGTTTATCCAACGCATTTTCACTCCCAACTTGTCACATACTGACGCTTGTCCAGGGTCCCTCTGTGTCCAGTTTTGACACGTCAGGTAACCCCCTCACATCAGTTATTGACGAGATGAGAACAAAGAGGAGGAGTCCGTTGTTATATTTTTAAAAAGTGTAGAAAATGCATTGCAATTAACCGTCCGAAACCCTAAATTTAGCTTCCATTAGCCCCTAGACATCATATCCCTGACCTCACTACCTAAAATTAACCAGTAACCCTGATCCCTAATATTAACCACTGACCCCAACCCGAAGACCCTATGTGGTTCTTCAATAACTGATGCGAGGGGGTTACCCGACATGTCAAAACCGGACGCAGAGAGAACCTGGACAAGTTGGGAGTGAGAATGTTTTAGTTTATCTCAAGACTCACTGAATACATTTTAATGACCCTCTCACAAAGTAGTTATTGTGTATACGTCTACCACTGATTATTTTTGTAATTAACCCAGTTAAAGATGGCTGCCACAGCTAACTGACCTTATCACAAAAACACAAAAGTGGCTATAAGTCAGTCAGTTTGACAGATATTGAGCTAAAATTTGTTGTGGTGGTCGCTGACGGTCATCTACAACTTACCCTCTGAGTGATGATCACACAAAACCTTTATTTACAACTTTGTCCATTTTGTCTGCTAGCAAAATATTTTTTGAACCACTGGATGGATTTTAATGACACTTTCAGAAAGTAATCATTGGGTAGACCTCAAACATTTAGAGTAATCTCAGATGGCACACGCAGGAAACAAACTTTAGGAAACACAATCATTGTTACAAATATTAATCTAAAATGGTTGTAGAAATGATAGAAGCTCAAAGTCACTCGCATTACATTTTCATGTGTGACATTTTAGGTTAAAACTTTGGCATGAATGMTTTTTCTGTTCTACATTTATTGCACTAAATCTACACATTACACGAACAGAAAAAAAATAGTTTTGTTAGATTCAGGTAACAGTAACATGTTTCTAAGAATATACAGTGTGAGCAGAGAAGAGAGTCGCCTGACAGTGAATTTTTCGTGTCACAGGAATTTAGAGAAAATGTAATAAATGGACAGTGAGAAGGGCAAGGAAAGAAAATCATGTTTAACAATGTCTGTCCTCAGGTTGTCATTAACTACAACCTGAAGCAGGATTAGGTAAATTAGTTTTTAACCTTCACATACTTTACATAGCAGTTTCATGCCTCCAACTGTAGCTGTTTCATACTTAAAAACCTTTATGGAGAAGCTGGAGTCCCTCACCCACAGGGATCGAGTGATGAAAGCCCAAAATAACAATACAGCCWTGTACACCTTTAGAATGTGATTTTAAAAAAATCCTCTGATGGTTTCCCAAACAAGAAAATACAACTTTAMATGAACAACATACACCATATTACACATTGTAATTATGTGTGTGTAATTATATTTAAATATAAATTAAGCCTCGGTGTGTGAAACCTTCTGTAGCTTCTTTAATAAACTGGAAGTAATCTTATACAGTATGACCTTTTAGGAATTTCGCATCATTATGGAGGAATTTTGACCCACTTTTCTTTACAATGTTGCTTCAGTTTGTTGAGATTGGCAAATTTTCATTAATGCACATTAATTAGAGCAGCTTTCCCACTAAAATATTTGTATCAGGTTGAGGTCTAGAATGTGTATTGGTCATGGTAACTCTTCTGTAACTTTATATTTCAGCCATCTTGTTGTCGATTTGCTGCTGTGGTTGGGATCACAGTCCCATTGCATGCATTATTTTGGACCAAGCTTATTCTGTTGAACAGAAGGCCTTACAATTGACTTAAGAAAAAAAGAGTTCATGGTCAACTCAGTGACTGGAAAATGGCTGAATTTTGTGGCTGCTAAACGAGCCAAAATCACTACCCCCTCCACCACCATGCCTGACAGTTGGTATGAGGTGTTCTGTCCTGTTCAGTCTTTTTAATTATGATCATAAACTTTACCCAGCAGCATACTAAATGAGACCAGTGGCTCCCAACGTATTTTCCTCATGGCCCCCCTTTCTTGCTTCCAAGCCAAGCTACACCCCACCACCCACCACCCATCCCTCGCCCAAAGACTCATTCAACCTTCATCTCTTTATTAAAATAATAAAAGAATAAAGTGAATAGTTATAAACTTTTATTTGAATCAGGAAAAAAGAACAACTGAGTTAAAGAAAGTTTTAATTATTCAAACTGACTTGTTTTGGTGATTTTTATATACAAACAGTAAATCAATATTTTCACAACCTCTGAGCAGAGAAGATTATGGGCTTCCCCCTTTTTGCTCCATGAGACATTGGTCTTTGAGTATTTTTGCTATTTGTTTGAGCATTACATGGTCTGTTTTTGGGGTGAATTTAATGGATTGTCCATAATTGGGAAGATTATCAGCTTTATTTCAGGATTTTCACTTGTAAATAACCATTTGTCGAATAATGGATTGCAAAAAGGCAATAGCTRCTCAAAAGTCATTGGCCATGTCTTCCCTGCTTGGCTTTGTTTGATCAACATGCAGATTAAAAGTGATGCTCATAACTGATAATAGTTTAATAAAGTTCCTTTAATAAGCAGCTCCTGGCTGCTACTCACGCTCAATTAAAGCATGATATGTTGTTCATCTGAGGTGTGTTTACAAAGATAAAATGAGTAAAAAACTACAAGTGAATTTTTTTTCTGTACTTATATTTAAAAACCTGAATTTTGAATACATTGTCTTTATTTTTGCTGTAATCACAGATCTAGATCTGTTTTAGGTRGTATTCAGACCTGATAATTTGCTCCGCTTTAAACGAACCAGAGTTAGTTTCCAGCGTTGGTCCGGACCTTTTGTGCAGGTGTGAATACACTCATGCGAACTCTGGTGCGGATCAAACAACCGGACCGAGACCRGCTTTTTGAGGTGGTCTCGTTCCGCTTCCAAAAGAACTCTGGTGCGGTTCYCTTCAGTTCTCTTCTGGTGTGAATACAGACCGGGCTCTAACCGAACCAACTGCATTAAACATGCGCCTTTTTGGACTTCACAGGCCACCGTTGCTGAGCTAAATAAACTGAAAACATACCTGTTTCATCGTCTCCTGTTAGCAGCTCTGCTGGCAGCATGTAGTGGTCAGAACACACAGAGCACCTCGTCTCCTTTGGGTTGCGGGAAACATTTACGTGACGTCACTCCAAAATTAGGATATCATCACGGAACCACCATTAAATTAGCTGCGTCTGACATTTTAAATGCTATTGCAGTTGTACTATCAGCAAAAATGTGCACATCAGAACCACAGCATGCAGGACTTCCTTGTTTTCTTCTGGGTCTGTGCGCTCAGTCCCGCCCCCGTCCTTTTCTTTCCAGTGGGAGCAATGATCGTCACCCTCGTGGCTTTGTTTACAACCTATAGTTCATTTGAAAAAAAAAGCACAATGTGAATGCAAACCACACCAAACGAAAAAAATAAAGTCCACTTTCGGTCTGGACTAAACAAGTGGACCYTAGGACTTTCCTGGTCTGAATACACTCTTACTTTTACTAAAGTCCACACTAGTCTGCACATGTGCTGTGTGTAAAAATAAAAAATGTCATCATGTGATCATGATTAAAGAATAAAGACCCACAAAACACAGGACACTGACTTAGTTTGGAGGCTGATTCTTGTCAATTTTTGAATTTCTGGTGTGGAAGCACTACTGTTAAA